GCCGCTCAGCATCAGGACACTGTACAAATGTCTGGCTAGGTTACACAGGAATGTGGTTTTACCATATAAAACTGTGGCCTAAATCCCGCAGCCTGCATGTGTAAAACTTCCAGACCATTAGTTTACTGGCCTGACCTCATTCCTTCTCAGCAATGCTGCTGTAGCAGACATTTCATCATACCCCCAACCCCACTAACCCCACATTCACCGTACTTAAGCCAGCCAGCGAGGACCTGGGATGACCTCTGTGGCATTAAGCCTAAACTTCACATGTAGTTTTATATTTTTATAAAGTTCATATGATCCAAACATATAACATATGAAAATGATTAAAACACAAACTGATGCCAAACAATAGATTGTGACTGGTTGCTGCAGCCAATTTCTCTACTCTGGAACGACATTGTTCAGAAAAAAAAAAAAAATCAATTAGAGCTTATGTCATGCATTGCTAATCACATTAATAGCTTTAAAGGTTACAGATAAGATTCCTGCTCTGCTTATCTTCCCTCCGTCTGGCACAAACTTTCTGATTTTCTTGTTTATATCGATCAAAGCATCAGTTACAAACTGCATGAAAGCAGCCATCAAAACAGTGATCAAGTTAGACTGCGGAAACCAGACAAAAATGTCTTAAAGGTTCCATATAGTCTAAAGGTAGATGTCCATGTGTTGTTTGATTATAAAGCAGGTCTAGGTTCTGTATTAATACTGTGAAAGTATCAAAGCGCTCAGTCCACAGAGAAATGCACACAGCCTGTATTCAGAAACTGAGCCTTAAAACCAGCCGTCAGGACTTCTGCAACTTTGTGATGTCACAAAAAAACAGTCATCACCCTCAGCCATGTCCCAAGCCCCGCCCACCTGGACCCACCATCCAACCTTGTAGGATTTGGTTTCTCCGAGTGTTTACCTGAAATCTGCTATATTTTTATTGGATCACTCAGAAATCAGTCAGCCAATCAGAAGGGAGGCTCTGAGCCCTGGATTGGCTCACTGACCTGTTGTTACTAAAGCTTGAGAGAGAAACCTGAGAGAGGAGACGTAAAACTACACTGAGATGGTTTTTGGTTCTTAAAACCACAAATATATCTTCTTACAGATCCACACTTCAAATAAAACACAGGAAAAGTGTCAAATATGAGACCTTTAAGGTTAAAGGGCTTTCATCATCATGGTTACAATCTTGCAACACATTGTTTGTCTTTCAGTTTTTCTCCCAATCTGTTTCTATCTATCCGACTTTATTCTACTGTATTAAGGCACATGAAAAGGATGAAAAAAGGATTTTAACTTCTGTCACATGTGTTTGAGTTCCTCTTTGGTGGTAAATACAGATGATATGATTATCTCTCTGTCCAGTGATCATCATGACTTATGGATGATGCAGTTCCTGGTTAAACTCCGTTGTATAGCTTCAAATAAAATCAGCAAGACAACAAAAACAAGCCAATCTTGTCCTGAATAAAAAGCCTGTACAGATGCATCTCTTTGTGTCTGACAGCAGTGAGGGAGTTGTTCGGTGTCAGCTTGTCTTCAGAAAGATAAAACTGTACCTCAGGCATTCCTGGCTTGCTGCTAACTATGAGCTGCTGCCCACACTGCCGATCAAGCCTCATTCCAATCATATTTTCTGAGAGCGCGAGCCACGAGGAGGAGGCGATCAGCGCAAGTTTCGGTGATGATCAGAATTGATTTGGTATATTCCAGATGCGGTTCATTTTGTTGATTTTACATATGGGCTGAGTGCTCATTATATACAGTATTCTGTCCACTGATGTGCTACTGTGGAAATGAAATGAAATTAGGCCAGTGTTTAATTAGGACAATGAAATTTACTTAAAATGCCAGATAAAAATCAACTTGTTGCTGTGTGACCGAGCAAAGCAAAGTCTGAAATATGCAGCAAAAAAAAAAGAAGAAAAAAAAAAGTCCAATTTCATGACAGGAGTATAGAAATTATGCATAGTTTAGAAAAACAACATAAGAACTGACATGTTAGAAACAAATTACTGTTCAGTTTGTCAATTGACAGAAAATAATTTTAATGACAACATATTGAGAAAAACACCAAATATTTTTGAGGGTTTGCTGCTTTACTTTGTTTTATATTATTGTGAACTGTATACCATTGGATTTTTTGGACCTTGGATTTTCTTGACAGATTAATCAATTATCAAAACAATCACTAATTGCAGTCCTTAAATGATTAAGAGTTTGATTTACTTGATTTACTTTGATTTGTGCTTGACTTTACAAATTACAGACAGAGGAGTTCACACGGGATTATATTTGTTACAGTTTCCCAATTTAACACAAGCACACTTACTTTACATGTATTTGATGAATAAGAAATTATTTCTGGTTCTGAAAATGCTAAACTAATTTCTCCTGTTACACTGCCCATGTCAGGTCGCTCTCAAGCTCTTTTGCTTAGGAAGATAGCAAAGCATCAACAGACACTTTGGAAATGATTAGCATTAATTTAGAAATTTGACTCTTTTATGAATATGCGGTGAATTTTAATATTAACCGGCCACTGAAAAGAATCATTTTGCCAAAGCCGTGGCAGCATTTCATTTGTCATACATCGGAATGTCTCAAATAGTTCAGTCAATCAATCAATAAATTAATTAATCAATCATAAGAAAAGTAACCAACAACTTTGCTCGAGTTTTGACAGAGTTAAGAACTGAATTGTGGTAACTCAGGGACTTCCAGTGAGCTTCTAATCATTAAGTTTTGAGGTCAGTGTGACAGAGGTAAAGTAGATAAAGTATCTCGTATGAAGAACGGGGACACACTGACAGCATCTGAGTATCTTTCAGGGGTCAAAGTTCATTGCTGATTGTTTGGCACTGTTGCTCATTATCAGGAGGACACATTAATCCTTTGGCATCCTTTCACTGGTCTCTCAGTTTCCCTTTAATCAGCCACACAAAGGGCTGTCAGTCAGCATTATTTGGTTTACACTTCCAAATGTCATTAGTCACGTTGTTTGTGGATTTACACATCTGGGACAAACACTTGGTCAAACACGCAACACCAAGACAAAAGCTTGCTGACTGGCAAAAAACATGTCAGACACTGCTGCGTCTCTGCTTACAGCAAAGCTTTCTGCACGGGGCCCAGGGTTTTGTTGCTTAGCACCATTTTTCTCAAGGTCTGTGTGATAATGGATGTGTTGATGGGATGATCTGTGATGGGAGGGGGCTGTGTTTGGGTTATTTGGGTCTGGCTGGTATCCTGCCATCCACTCAGCCTCTCAACAGTTCTCCGGCATCATCATCGATTACAGAAAGTGTTACTGCAGAACGGAAGCCTCTTTATTACAGTGGGAACGGGTTTCTGTGTAAATCTCACAAGACTGGGAAAAGATGAACTCATTTCCTGAGGTGAAAATGCTCATTAATTAAAAGACTCTGACTGTCTAAAAATTGAATTGACTTTAGGTATTCAATATACAATGATACACAATGAAAAAAAGTAGAAAATCCTCACATTCGAGATTCTGGAACGAACAAATTTTTTGCTTGAAAAACTACTAAAACTAAAATTAAAAAAACTCAATTTTCTTGAGTGAATGAATGAATGGTTGTTATGGCCTGAACCAAACAACAATCCCAAGTCAAGAAGTCAAATTATGGCAAAACCTATCCAACGCTTTACTTGGCAGGGGTGCGTTCAGAAGTGCCAGCTGTCATGCATAATGCATACAGTTCTTATTTCTTGAATAGCACATGAGTTTTCTCATCATGGATGTGGTATTAACATTAAAGGTCATATGGGGAAGGATTAAGGAGTTACTACCATTCTAATGTTTTGAAATATTTACAAAAATATTTTAAATATTTCATGTTCCCAAATCTAAACAGATGGCCAGTCTATATGAAAACTATGTCCTGAATACTATTTTGCCCGGTCAGAAACAAAAAGAGAACTTTGATGTCCCAGTAAATATCACATATTTGTGGATTTCATAAAGTGCGTTACTGAACCAAATCTTTTCATGCATTGCTGTGGTCTTACAGATCCCTGCTACCACAAGGCAAAGAGCTAATAAGCAGAGACAAGCTAATGTTACTGGTTCGTTCAGATACAGTACATCCTTTGAGCACACGCCCAATAGTATCCTCCACATCAAGCCTGCTGGGAACTTGTACTGTTGACTGGAGTAGCTTGTCACATGTCATGACCAGGGCATAAGTAGACAAGAGAGAGAATAGCAGCTATGTGTGGAAGTGGAAGGCATGTGGCCAGACTGCCTTCTCCCTTCTCCACACTAGTTTCTTATTGTGTCCTGATAACCACACCAAACCAAAAGGATGAAAAAAGAAAGTGAAAATTAGAACAGGTTCATAATGACTCTACTGCTTTTACAGTGCCAGCCTTGGCAGCCCAGTGGGCTTCGGGGCCCATACGTTAATTATTCATCGAGGACTCCATCTCCCTCTGGCAGTTAACAGGATTGAAATGATCATAAAGAGTCTGCTGTCAACCAATGGGTGAAATGTGTGACCTTTCCGACGGCTATTTACGAGACCCTCATTAACAAGCAACATGGTTTGTTTTGTCCTGTGAATAAAAATGAAAGTGTCAGAGCATCAAATGGCAGAAATGTTGCCTCTGTTTGTCCCTGGCCCCCCTGATAGTCACCACATTAGTTTTCAAAAACCACCTGAACATCTGAACGTAGTGACCTAAGGTAGAAAACTTCCTAGGTGTCACATTGCTGGCCATTTTGGATTATCTAACTGCCACATACTATACATTATTCCATTTGTTGTCAGCTACATTACCCAAACACTGACTTCTTTGAGACATACAAGGAATTCAGTGAGTCAGTTTGGCAGACAACTGGTCAGTGTTGACATGCCATACTCAGTGTTGGCAGGGAGAACACCCAAGGGAAGGGTGAGGCTTGAGACAGAGTCATAATACACAGCAATGATGCCAAAACAGTGATAACACCAGGTATGTTATAATACTGCAGGACTCACCCATGGTGGCAGCTCAGCAGTAGGCACACTTTGCCTCCCTGCTTTCTCCTCATGTTCCAGGAATGCTAAGGCACGGTTTATCCTGTAGTCCTTACTGCCGTGGTTCTTCCTCCAGTAGAATAACATGGCAAGTCCTATCAGAACCCAGCTAAAGCTGAACTCAAAGTATCCCAAGATGTAGATCGGAAAGATGATGGCGAAAGTCTTGGCAAAGTTAATCCACATTTGGCTGACATCTGTCAACGATGACTGCTGCTCTTCTTCCAGCTCTCCTGGAGACAGAGGTGGGTCCATGGTGGAGCGCACCGGGCTGCTGGGCGCTGCAACAGGTCCATTCGCCCCGACACCTGGTCCCGCAGAACCCTCCATCCTGTTACTCATTTCCCCTCTGGAAAGGCAGTAATAGCAAATGTTTGTGTCATGTCACACACAGACAAAGGTGACATTGTTTCATTACAGAGGCCTCATGCTGTGAGATTTTCATGCCCACAGGTCAAAGGTCAAACAATTATACCAAAGATATGCTATTATAGTTATAGCTTTACTAGTTATTTTCATTAGTGCTGACACGGAATGATGATGATGAGAATAGATGTAAAATGACAACACAAGAACCCCACAACAAAGATAAGGGTTTTTATGTCACACATTGTGATTATAAACTATGAAAAACAACTTAGTTTTACTATCATTGTTACACAACTATGAGGGAAGCAAAAATAAGTATGTATCACAGCAAATCTCAAAATTATAATGTATCTAAACTAATGGTATATCAAAGGAGATATTGCTTGTTGTACCATGTTACAGTATTTACCTTTAGCAAGCAAGTAGTAGAAACTTGATTAAAATGAACCAAATTCCCAAACAGATCCAAATTAGCAAATTTTGGTCATTGAAAAAATCACTTAGTTTGATAACTTAGAAGTTCCCCAATGCATATGATGGCTAAAATAAAGTAGTATTTGTTTATTCTACAAAAGCAATTTCACAGCCTTCATTACATATCCACACAGACTGCAGGCTGAGCTGTCATTCCAGGACTTCATACAAAACTCCTTAGCAAAATTGTCGACTTTTCGTTACCTATATTAATGTGTAAACTGGCAATAGCACGTACCTGAAAAAATCAAACTTAATATATCTAATGAAACGTTTCGATCCACTGTTCAATTCGGCATATGTTCAAAACACCTACCCGCAATCTTGTCGCTAGTATTTTAACTTTGAAGAGTGCCTCAACCGTTGGCCCCGCTACCTACCAACACCGCCACCGTTACTGGCAACAAGTGTGAAACGGTTAGTAAAGTACAATTTCTACTGAAATGTGTGTTGTATGTTTCGGTTGTATGTGTGCCGAATACAAGACCACTTACGACTAAATCCGATATTTATTTTAAGTCTTTGCTTACGGTGCCTTAAAATGTCCCTTTGAGTAGAGTATCGCTTAAGTGCCGGATTTTTGAGCGGAATCTGTCGTGACGTTTTCTCCAAACTGACACGTATCGGGTACTAGGACTTCACCACCAGCTACTGCGTGAACCAAACATCAGCGACAAAAAAAACAACTTCTTCCTCTACGCTCACCGCTGAGCAAGCAGCACACTCACCGGTATCCCCCTGCGACATTCGCTCTTCCTTGAAAAAGAAACAAAAAATTCACTCTGCCAACCGAGTCCACTGCATGCCGATCAGCTAAACTCTGATAACCCTCTCTCCCCTTCAGTACATCCTGCTGTGAGGGCGACTAGTCCGTCTCAAGCAGCCTGCAGGAAACTGTCATCGCGGGAAACAGGTCAGCCTCCGACAGGGAGGGAGCTTCAAAACACAAGCTCAACAGCAGACCCGGGCGCCATCTCGTGGCGGGAAAAACGGTAAGGTTTCAAAAATATGAACGTTTTAAACGGTCATTAGAGTTTTAGTTTTTGTCTGACAACAACATTTTAAATCTAAATTTAGTCCATCTTGTTTTGATTTAATCTGCAGCCTTGGAATTATGTAATGCTAAAATTCTTGTAAATTCCCTGTTGTTTCCCAAGGTTAATACATTAAAATGTAGTCATATACATATCACTTCTTTTTTTTCTTTTTTTCTTTATACAAATCCCTGTTGTGTGACCAAGTATTGTTTAAAGGGGCTATATGTAACTTTTGCTATTGCTACATATAACGTTAGCATTAACAACTGTTTACTTACCATTCTAGAGGAAACGTTCAAACTTCACACCTTTAAGAAACACGTTAACTCTTGTCTCTATCACTTCTTTTCTTCCATTGAACTTAGCATGCTAACAAGCTAGCCCTGGCCTGATTGGTGCATCTCATGACTTTCTGATACTGAGTCCATGTAGAGTCCCATCCGTCCTTAAGAAGCAGTTGCTTAGAGGACGTATTATAATCTCTTTTTTACAACAGTTAGCTGATATAGAGTACAACAACACTGGGACTTTTAACTACATGTATCACTCTGGTTACATTAAAGATTGTTATCTATCTTGGATTGTAACAAACTTTGGCCGCAAATATGAATATATTTCCAGAAATAACATTCGAATTAAATTATGTATGGTCGGCAGAAGAGGAAGAAGGGAAGGAAAGAAGCCTGCATACTCCTGCACACACCTGAGGTAACGTGTAGACAAAGTAGCAAGCTAATGTGCTGGTCAGGTAAATGTTTATGTGTTGCTTAGCAGCAGTCCAGTACCAGTCCAGTTGCAGAACTGTTTGTGTTGATGTAGCCAAATAAATGATGAAATAAACAAACAAATCATAATCTGTTGTTGCTTTTTACTGTTAAATAATATGGCACCTGTAGAACGGTTGCATAAAAGCAATATAACACTTGAGGTCATGCAGTTTTATTGAATATCAGCATGGCTGCGATTCGGTCATATAGGTACGAGGCCACAGAGACAACTTAGGCTACATATAGCACCTTTAAATTTACAATAGTGGGAGATCACAATATTTGCTATAACACTAACTACTGCATATCACTGGATTTTTGTGTCATAGTATGCCCTGTCAGTCCTAACCCCACTAGTCTGATACCCACAGCTGGCTGCATCTCTGCTGGGAACTGGGATCAGAATAACTGCCAGACTCCTTCCTTTCGATCTTTCATAAACTAAACATTGATTTGATATTTTAAACCCCCCTCAATTATTTTAGATTAATCAATAATGAAAGTAAATCATTAGTTGCAGCCCTCATGGTTTTATAATACAATTTTTTTTTACATCTAGACCTAGTGGTCTAGCTGAAGAAAGAAGGTTTTATGAGTCAAAAAGAGGTGTCTATGTTTATCAAGACCCAGTAGGTCTATGGTAGTACTTGTTTAAGACCTTGTCCAGTGGGGTCAAATGGAGAAAAAACAGTGAAATTGTTCCCTTTTTTGTTTTCATGAATAGAATAAAGGCCCAATGAAAATGAAATTGGCTTTCAAACTGCTTTAGGGGTTTTACTTTGATGTCATAGTTATTGAGTTTCATTTTTACTTACTGGATGCTCTAAAAACCTTCCCAAGAATAAAAATGTGGTAGGGATATACTGAATAGTTTTATTCATTGTCCAAAAGTAGTCAAATTTACATATACTGAGTCTAGCATGGCCTGTGAGATACTACTCGTGTAACGGAGTAAAAATGAATGTATGCTTCCTCCTTTTTTTCTATTTTTATATAAATATTTTATTCCTAAAACACAACCTTGATAGAGTACATTGAATGCCGAAATTGCATCATACTGTAAGTGGTCTGGTGAAAATATGAATTGAAATTATATGGCGAGTGATAAGTCGACTCCATGTGTTCTTTTTTCAGCACTTGGCCAATCCCTTACAAATGACATTAGGATAGCCTTTGACCAATGACCATTTCATCCTATTTGCTCCCTTCAATGTTGGAGCACACTGTCATTTAGAGCAGTTAAATAAAGCAGCCAGGTGTTTAAATCTAAAAAAAAAAAGATAATTTGTTATGTAAAATCATATGACAACATCACTAAATTGAACTCAAATTCATTTAGAAAAGATTCAGGGCGGTGTGCACCATCACTGTTCAGCGTGCTGTCATAGCAGACTTTGTCACCAGCATTTCCCCACTAGATGTCGTGGTAGTGTTTGTAAACTGAAGCATCACAGCTGTTGTGGAGTATAAATTCATATCAAACATTATCTTTGTATATTTTTCTATGTTTTTTTCTATTTGAATAGGCAGTAGTACTTAAGTAGTTTGGAAAATCCTTGTGTACATTGTCTCTGCAGTAAGAACCCGGTAGTCATTACAGCACCCATTCCCCAGTGCCCTTGAATCATTGAGTTTCATCAGGGTTTTTCATGTCTTAATATGGTATTATGTTTTTACCATTATGTACTTTAATAAGAAGACACTCACCTCAGCATAAAGCTAATTTGAAAAACAGTTTCATTGGTTTTTTGCCCAAAACAATTGCTTAACATATTAAAAATGAACTGTGTGTAAGAACAATCAAAAGACTTCTTTTTGGAGGAAGTGCAAATGTTAAAATCAGGACAAAAACAATGATTTTTTTTTAACTAAATACAAAACAATCTCAACAATCTCACCTCACAATTGTAATTTGCTAATGCAGAGGCCTGCTATGTATTCTTCAGTCCTGACAGCGTTTTTGTCTTGTGCTCCTCAGAAACTACTCTTTAAAATGAGTATTATACATTAATATGTGATGTGTGTCCATGCAAGTGGGAGAAAACAAACGGGAAATTGAGAGAAAAAAAACCCATAAGAACATTATCTTTAGTGAATTAACCATGTAGTTGGTTTAGGTTGGGTATGGTGTTCTATTTGCATTACACACACATGTAGGTATATGTATGTACAGTATATATGTGGTTAAAAGCAAAGAAAGGAAAAAAAGTTTGCATCAAAATGGAAAGCACCCAAGATTAGATAATTGAAAAGAAAAATGGAAGAATACAAGTCTTTGTTTTTTTTTTTTATTGATTTTTCTTTCATAAACCACCCCAAATGGGCCAGACAAAACTTATTTGCATCATTGTTAAATATACACTTACCTAATTTAGATTTATATGTATAAAGTTGGGGTAAATTGGAAACAGAAATGCAAGGCAAACCCTCCATATTTTGGCTGTATTACAGTCAGAAAATGTATTAGAGTATAACTAAACTGTGAGTTATATAAATTGGTAAGTTGACTGTGTTGTGATTTGCAATAATAGTGATTTATTAAGTTATTTTCTACTGTTGCACTCACTGTAATTCCCCTGGCAAAACAGAATCAAACTAAATGATAAATCTGAAATGGAATTTTTGGCAAAAGAAATAAGGAGCTGACGTTCATATCATGTAATATCTCCATCTGTACCCACACTATCTTACCTCACCACTATTTGTTGTTCAAGAAATCTCTGTAAGGTCATTAGAATAGATTAACCTTTAACCCTAACCCCTAACCCTTGATTAGTCATCTTGGTTTCACTGCCTGTATCCCGAAGATACTTTAATGTTAGGTTACATCAGTGCAGTGCCGGTTTGAATTTGTGTCAAGATCAACACATCAGTAGAAAACCAAGACATTAAGATGAATTGTTGAGATGTTTCTTTGCAGACTAAGAATAAATAAAAGTAATGGTGCAAACAAAATGATAAAGGATTATCTGGTAGGACAAATGCAGCCTGTAACACTGCTAGGCTCATTATTCTCATTTCATTTTCCTCTCCTCTCTAAAACTGTGCAGGATAATGACAGAGAGAGAGAGGATTATGAGGAGGAGGAGGAACAATGTCATTTCTAATATGAGGGTGGGAAAAGAGCAATTTGCAAAGCCGCAGCACAGAGGCAATAAACATCCTGCGTCTTCAGACCGTACAGGTGAGAGAAAAGAAATACAGTCAGAGCTGAGGAAGAAGAGGATGGGTTTCGTTTTAAGCTGAAAGACAGCAAAGGACACTTAAAGTTTCCTAAAGGCACGTTTTACAATTGTATAAAATACTTTGATGAATTAGAAGTGCATCCAACAAGTCCTCCACATTAAAAGACAAAATACGTTGTTTGCAGCTCTATGTAAGCATTTCCTGAAGCCCATATCAGCAGGACAACATCCATTATAAGTCAGCTATCAGCTATAGATACAAATGACCTTGTTAGGTTGGTTAGCAAAAGATCATGGTTTGGGAGAAAATAAACCAACATTGACAGGTGGCTGGCAATGGGAAGTTAACCGAAGTCCGCTGAGTCTAAGTCCAATGTTTTGTTGACCCATCTGGAGCACGAGGTGATATCATTCAATGTCTTGTTTTGTATGGTCAACACAAAAATCACCCAAAGAATATTCAATTTATTATAATGTAAGAAGAAAAAAAGAACCTGGAACCATCAAATATTTGGCATTTTTGGTTTTGATTATCAAAATAGGTCTTTCGATCAACTCATCATTGCAGCTCTACAGGTGCGCTTCTCTGTTATACTAGAAAGTGGGGTTTCACTTCCAGCCATTCTTTCTTTGTGCATTTATTTAATAATGGTAGTGAAGACAGAGAGGAAACATGGGAGAAAATAACAGGGGAAGAGTCCAGCCAGTCGGGAATCAAACCAGGGACTTGCTGCTCAGGGTACTGACACCCATGTGGTACAGTCCTTAACCGATCAGCTATCAGGTTGCCTCACTTCTTACCCTTCTGAGGTGCAGCAGGAAGAAGTAGTTAAGGAAGGAAAAGCGTTAAGAAAGAGGC